GGAACATGGAGGACAGGAAACAAGACATTTAATTATAAAACATGATTTATTTTATGTTAATCTGAATCAGTTTAGTGTTGTTTGTAAATATATTTGACAGTTTTGTAGGAATGAACACGTTTGTAATGTTTGTTCAAAATAAACCTGCTTCTTATGACTTCTGTAACATGTTTTGAATAAAATATTATCAGTAAAAACTCAAATCATGTCCTTTCTAATAATTATTAGAACTAGAAGAACTGTAACTCAGAGTTTCTCCAAAGATTTTATTTAACCATGGTGGTGACCTCTCATGTGGGGGTTTGACAAAATCTGGTTGTCCTCAAAACAGTTTGGTTGTCCAAAAAATATCTCAATAAAATATAATTTATAAGTAGGCTATATTGTTCTGTATACAAAGTGTAATATATACAAATGTTCTCAGTCAGCAGGTTGACAGTTTTAGGAGGTGCTTGAGGAGAACTTCCTCGTTCTCCTCATCATCCTCTTCTTTGAAAAAGAGATAAAAAACCAACATCCAGCATCCATAAGCTTTCTGCTTACAGGTCAAACATTTTTATTTAAATAGGAGTAAACTGTGTAATTATTAAAAGTTACAGTTTAGTGTGCAATGTGTTTAAAAGCAGAGCTGCGCATCTAATCTCACACACACGTCTTCCTATCTTTGTGAGGACCACACACACGTCTTCCTACCTTTGTGAGGACCACACACAGCGCTCAGCCTCGCTCTGCGCCGTCTTTCCCCCAAGTTTGGTGAGAGGTGGATATGGAGGGGCACAAAAAATAGCTCTCAACTTGATCTGGTCTTATTKAAATAAAAATGACTACATGCCGTGAAATTCTTAGAGGGGCGGGCCGCCTGTATAATGGTAGGGTAAACACTGGATCATTTCGTAGTTGCAAACGTACAAGTGCACATGCACAAAGCGGATGGGTCACAAATACGGTATAAACAAGGAGTTGCTGTGGAAATCCAACAGGTAAATTTATRTTGTTATACAGACCTGATGTATCTGCTCTAAACTGTTTCATGTTAAACTTTCCTTTAGAATTATTAATGATTTTTGCACACATCTTTAAGCTATAAATCTGCTTTTTGAGGTTGTTTTGGTAGTGTTTTTGTTGAGAGTATTGTTATGGATACTAACTACATGGGTAGAAAAGTCCCAACTGCTGGATCATTTAGTAGGTAGTAAGGACTGATAGGACTTAAAAAAATAATCAAATTTTTTTAATATCTCGTGGCTCGCTCAGTTTATCTATGTGGGTAAAGCTGATAAGAAGAACAAAATTCATAATGAACTGAAAGACTAAACTACGGCGMCAATGAGATTGTTAATGCATGACCATGGATTAATTGTTTTTACCCAGTGACATCAGACGGGCTACATACTAAACAACGAAAGTAGTAAATGCATAAAATTAGGTAAATAATAACCATGTAAACAAAAAAAGGTAGTCACAATTTACAAAATTATATGTTTATAAACAAAAACGTTAAGTTTGGCTTTATACTGTTCTTAAACAGTAAACTTTTCACTATCTACAGCATTTTCTCTGCCATAATTTTCTAAAAACAAGAGCGGTGGCACTTGTCACATTTAATAAAATTGCAGGTTTGTTTATATCGAATAACCTCTGACCTCTACACACAATGCCACGAGGGCAAAAAACTATAAAATGGTCTATTGTTTTTATTTAGTTATTCTAAATTTATTTTTCAAAACTTAATTTATTCAGATAAATTAGGAAAGTGGGGTTATAATATTGCATTTCCTTTAATAAAAAGGGTAATACTTGATGGACTTTTTGCACAAAAACTGAACTGGAGGTGTGTGATGTTGCRAAACAAGTCATATAATCAAGCCAAAAGTGCTACTATTTGTCACAAAACAGTGTTATATAACTTGACATTTAATATAATTGATCAGAGACAAGTTTGTGAGGATTTCCCTGCTGCCTTCAGGCTCCATCCTGGTCTCCTCCATCACTCACAGGGGCCAAACTGCATGTGGCATTTCAAAGTGCTGTAATGGCTGTGAGGCCAGGCTGTTGCTGGGCAAGTCTGGGTGGAAAGGACACAGGTAGCAGCACAAAACACAAAAACACAAACACTAATGTGTCGGAGAGCTGCTGAAGTTGGAGAGCAGCGTGGACTGGAGGGGACGAGTGTCCAGAACTGCTGCTGCTGCTGTCTTTTGTCTTTGAGTCGAACTCAGTGGTCAGTTTGAGCCAGCAGAGGACAAGGTGCACTTCCCCTTCTTCACACAGCAAAGACACGTCCGTGTAACCACTTCCAGTAGCTGGGAATTAACTCCAGCATTAGTTTCACTAAATGTTGCTGAAAGTGTGACATCCTACCTTCAGGTTCTGGATGAGCTCGCCATAATTAAACTCCGCTGAGGAGTGTTCGTCCGGCTCCGACAGGGACAGGTTGATCCGAAAGGTCCTCCTCTCGGCGGCAGCCTTGTTGTCCCTGTCGCCGGTTTTACCGAGACGACCATTGCTGGCGGATCCTTCTCTTCCTGCCCCGCCAGCCGCCTCGTCCGSCTCCCCGGCTCTGTCGAAGTTGAGGTCGGCCTCTCCCTCCAGCCGGCGCTTCCTAGACTCCGCGGCAGCTCCAGCCGCGAAGGCCGAGAGGGTGACAAACTGCACTTTTCTCGGTTCGGCCATTTGGATGAGACGCCTGCCTGAACCTCGGCTCCGGACAGACAGCGACACCCGAGAAGAGCTACTTCGCGAAACTACTTCAAAATTGTTGGATTGAAGAGGCTTCCGCGAAGCACCAAAGGCTGCTCGGGGCCTAGGCGGGCGTTAGAGCCTCCTCCGCAGCATACGGGTCGAACTCCAGGGGATGCGACGGTCGGGGGAAAGTAGTTTTTTCAGCAGCTGCTCTCATCCTCGCTTTGCTTTGGGGCTGAGACATTCACAGGAGCCATCTTGGGTTTCGGGAGTAAATAAAATATCAGAAGAGAGGGGTCGCTGCGCATGCGCGTACGCACCGAACGGAAGCATGTGTGGCACAGGGGAGAGCGTCTCGTCCAATCGGCGCGAAGCCGAGATTTTAGCCCCGCCCCCTGCCACAACAGGCGATAATAACAACACTACCAGTACTAATWTGACCTTTATAAAGTGTCTGTGTGAAGGACGTGAGGTGGGATCCAATGTTTATATTACGTGTTTGTCAAAACCGTCGAGCAGCAGCTTTTAAATGTTTAATTCAATGCGTTTCCTTTCGTCTATTCAAGGAAATGCTGAATAGTGCATTTTTTTTGCATCATCCCCACGCTGAAATACTGAAAGGAAGAAGATAAACAAGTCGTTTGGCAGCAACAGATAACTGCCTCTGAAACAGCTCTTACTGCACAGTTTGAGTCCTCCTGATAAATTTAACTGTGGAAATTTACAATACTCTTCAGTTCAATAGAAATTTACACTTGCATCTCTGTTAACCGCCCGCATGATTGTAATTTTTGTGGTAGGTCCTGTTAGGCTGTGTTTGAAAATTTACATATGAAAATGTTGACTTGCAGATTTTTATGCAATCAGCTGGATCACACCCAATCCACACCCTGGTTTTACAAACAACATTGTTGTGACAAATGACAGATTAGGTGTCCAAGGACAGAGAGGGTGCAGGAAATGTCAGACTTTACTTAGGTCAAAAGTAACTTTGAAGAAAACAGTTCAGTTATAAAGGTTATGMTGACCTTTAGGTTCAGAGGTCATGGTCAGGAGAGCCAGAAAGACGATTCACAATTCATGGCATGGGTTGAAACATTTATACACAAGGAGGGCCARGGGCCAACTTGTTATACAACAAATTATTCTTATAGAAATACTTTTAAACTTTTCCAAATTATGTTTTATGTAGCATYTAGAACATACATAGCCTAACAAATAAAGAAAAAAAGATTTAATTAAGAAAGGCACATCGTTAGCATTCATTTTTTACATCTTACACTTTATTCACAACTTTGTTTAGCAACTGGTGGTCTGTGGGCCACTTCCAGGCCTTAAGTGATTTTAGTTCAGTTTGCTGATTAGTTAATTTAAAGCACAACAAATAGAGTRGCAATCATGTTATCCAGAAGAGCTGGGCTATACAACTCAGTCTGCCTGCCAATAACTTCATTTAATAAAAAACTGATTTTGAGTAATAAAAAATAGTGAGTTTGTATTTTAAATATAAAATTTGATTTTAAATCAGAAGAAAATGAAAGTAGATTGTTTTTATTTATTTAGTTACTGGATGTCCGGCCCCTGAGCTGTTGGCTTTCGGTAACTGTGACTGTCTTAATTTTTTTGCAATCTGGAAAATTATGGGGGGAAAAAAACCTTCACTAAAAATYCAATTATTTGACTTTAAAATAAGAAAATAAAAAAGATTCCCTGTTGTTCTTTCTTTCTAATTTAATGTCCTTGGCTTGAAAATTGTTCAGTTGTCATGAAAAGAATGCACTAAACACAGTGACAAAAAGAGAAACCAGTAAAAGTTACCTTTTGGGCCGGATAAAACGTTAACGAGGGCCAGATTTGGCCCACGGGCCATGAGTTTTTCTTAAATGCTCTACATGTGCTGTGGACCATATTGTGGTCATCAGTAAAGTTCTCTGAGGGGTTTAGTTTGAGTCACGTTCTGATGTCCGTGCAGGTGCAAAACATTTTCTTATAACTTCAAAACCAGACGTTTTCCTTCAAATAGTGAAAGTTCATCAGAGCTTTATAGTACATATACTTTGTTACAGTAATCAAAGTAGTTTTTTGTTTTTGAGGATTTGTAATTTTACCAATTATTTTTTAAATAACTACCTTTACTTTGTTACATTTTAAAGCTAAAAATGATACTTTTACTTCTCTACTTTAAAATGTAACACTAGTTGCTCATTACAATTAAATCTGTCTGAACTCATCATGAAAGAAGATGTTTCTGCTCTAAAAAATGAAGTGTTAAACTTACTCTATAAAGTGATGTCAATTGGCTCCATTAAGTCTAGTTGAGTAAATTGAGCAAAGAATATTTACTCAACCTGGCATAGTTTGGTTTGTTTGGTTCAGTAAATTCAACAGTTAATTTTCTTAGAGAGCGTGTACTTTTTCTTTCCCARTTTTTGTGAACAGTTTTATGACTTTTACTTGAGTAGTTTTCTCATCAGTGAAATTTATTTTTACCAAARTCATTTTCTGTCCATATAATTTTACTTTTACTTAGTTGTTTCTTTCAAGTAGGTACTTTAGACCAGTGGTTCCCAAACTTTTTATCTTCTGACCCACAAAATATCCATGGCAAAAACTTGTGACCCCAAATATTCCTGGTCTGAGTACACAAACTTTGTTAATAACCCTAAAAACATAGGCTTTTTGACAATCTAAACAGCTTATACACAAATATAAATACTTATTTATACTTATTTTGTGTTTTTGTAATAGTTATATGGAAAATATTACATCAGCAATTATTTTATTACCCTTTAAATTGATTTCTGGAGATTATCCAAGGTGCTTCATGACCCTTAATTGGGTTCCAAGCCCAATTTTGGGAACCAAAGTGCAGTGGTTCCCAAACTTTTCAGCTTTTGACCCACAAAATAACAGTAGCAGAGACCTGTGTCCCCAGATATTTTTGGATGGTAAACATTTGCTTTAGGCCAACTAAACATGGGCATAGTAACAATGTTTTTATACTACATTTATCCATTTTAAATATACTAACCTCACTCATTTGTAACAGGCAAAAATGTAATTAATTCAGAAAATCTTTTTAGGACCCCACCTTGATGTTTCAGGACCCCACTTTGGGTCCCGACCCCAACTTTGGGAAATACTGCTTTAGACCTCTGAAGCTCATCCAAGAAAGTCAGGTTGCCGCCTTCTGGAAGGGCTTCTTCTCTCCAGGCCCCCCCTGAGTGGATGTTTTAGTTCAACACAACCTTCAAATTCATCTTATAAATCCACAAGAGTGCAGTGAGAAGAGGAGAATTTCAGTTATAATCCCTGTGATTAAGTCCTGTTCAGAACCTGCAGCTATATTAGTGGTTCTCAGGCGAACACATGAGGCAGTCCGCCAAGGTGTTCTGGTTCTGACTTCCTGGTTGGCTCCGTGAGCCGTACTGGAAACACATCAGTCTAGCTGACCAGTGAGCAATTCTCATGCCAGCTTCCTTTCATCCCTTTTAGTGCTAAAGCAGAGCGGTGAGGGCTTCAGTTCTGAGTAAGTCTGGGTCCACACACATCTTTCAGCTGCCCACACACAAGCAAGACTCTTTTTTTATAGTAGAGTACTTCCTCACAGATGGAGACAGGGTACAGGATGCAAAAGCAACATCCTTCATTGTCTATGTGCAACTATCCTTTGTCTGAGGCATGATGTGTCATCATTTTAAACTAAAKCTGCAGCTCTTTGTGAGCAGTTTAGCTTTGAGTTGTCTGTGTAAAATGTGCAAAATATTTATAGACAGTTTCTGGTAGATAGATACAAAATTCCCAGTATCAATAATTATCTCCAGAAGCTGGGAGTTTCCTTGTAGTTCCACAGTGTTTACTTGTGATTTTATCAAACATCGCAGCCATCAGCATCAACAACACAACTGGTAACTCAGGAACGACAGTTTCTCACTGCAGCCACAGATGATTTGCATTCTTGAAGTGACTGATTTGACACAAAGGAGRTATTAACCTCCGGATCAAAATGAACAAATACATTCACCAACTAATTGAGAAAATTAGAGAAAGTAAGCCATAAWTGGTCACATATCCACTATTTTTCAGTGTTAACTTGAATTGTTTTGTTAATGTGCATCATCTATAAGACTTTAAACTTAAGGTTGTAACAGAAATTAGAATAAGAACCTTCTTTATTRCTGTTTTTCTAGTTAAGACATTTTAAAACTCAATTTAAAGATTTATTGTAAAGTAACATTCGGATTTTTTTTTCATTAAAAGTTGTTTTTTGATCATTCAGCTTCTGTTCTTAGTTTTCTTACAAACATCTTTTGTACAAATTAAAAAAAAGTTTGACACCCTTTTCTTAAATTATTCTATTACCTTAGAATATTATTTAAATTGTTAAGTACACAAGTAAGTTGTCTGCTTATTTGTTTGAACACCTTTTGCTTATTAATCATTATATTTTTGTGTTAAATACAATAAATGTAACAAGTGATCACAGACAGCAAAAACATATCAAAGTGTAAAGTTATATTTTATTAGAAACATGGATTTACTTACAGAAAAATAGGGTCTAAACATAAATGTTTTCACAGAAATCCCACTGCTTGGCCAGATAAATGTTTGTGTCTCAAATAGAACTCCTTCGGTCCATTCAGCCGACGGTGGATCAGATCTGAGTTCGGTCATGAGAGGAGGACTCTGTTGTCTTTGGCCCACTTTCTCAGAGCTCGGATGATGTACTCAACCTGAGGGTTTCCTGAATTTCGTAGCAGGACCAGAACCTCTTTAAGTTTCTCCCTGGAGTGTAAACAGGATACGTAAAGAAAACAAGATTAGACCCAAAAGAAAGATGATACAATCACCCTAAATCAGCAGACAGGAGGAAGAAACACATACTTGGGCTCCTTGTTTGCCAGTATGAGCTGAAAGACGCCGACACATGCCCCTCGTTTGCCCTCCCAGTAATTAGAGCCCGGGTCCAGCTTCTCCAGAGCGTCAAACGCTTTGGCAGCGTAGTAGAACTGGCCCATCTGAAGTGACAATAAAGTGAATGTAAAAACTTCGAGTCATATTCATTGAGGCACCGAGGCACAACTGAGCAGCCAGCGGAGGACTCTACCTTGTAGCAGTCGTTGGCAATAAGCTGCAGCAGGCTGAAGGAATCTGAAGAAGTGCCCATTTTCAGATAGAGCTCCCAGGCATGCTGACCCTTCTGGTTCATTATGTCTGACAAGAAGAAGAGCAGCGGGTTCAATAATTCACCACTTCCAGACCGTCTCGACTCATAAAGATTTAAATGTGGAAAATATTGAAGGCCCTGGGCAGCTTTTACTGGTGTAAATTAAGTTAAACAGAGGAAGAAAGCCGTTTTACAGGAGATTTCCATTTCTGCTGTTGAGCGTAACATTAGCTGAATGAAAGAGTGACCTTGAATTCTTTGCAGGCCTGAGGCTAGAAATCTGGCAGTGAGGTTAGGCTCAGAGCCGAGCCAYGGTGAACTGGCTGAAAGAAAACCATCGGTTCTGTTTTCACATTGTTTCTGAAAGCACGCTGAAGCAAAACAACAAATCGTACGCTGACGACGAACAGCCCGTTTCCTGTCGGCTTTAAACTGAAACACAACTTCCACCATCAAGAGTCATTCGAAAATCTTTCCAATAAATAAAACTGGTGCAGAGCTTTACGATTGAAAAAAGGATAACTTAGTAAGTGTTAAATAAATACTACAT